ACAGTTAAGAAACCTTGTTTCTCTTGTTGAACAAGCTCAGGGAGAGCCAAGGGCGACCCCTGTTATCAAGGACCCCGGGCGGGAGTGTTTTTCCCAACAGGCTCTGCCTGTCTCCAAACGTCTGGGGGAGTGCTCAATGGCTCTTCAGCCCCCCTGGCTGTGGCCTCGCACACTCCAGTTTCCATGGCAACCCAAGCACTCAGGCTATTATGTACTCACCTCCTCACTAGCCCCTCCACTGACTCTCCACTAGTGGAAAGATGTCGGTCGACACTGGCTGTCTAGGAAAGCTAGCTTTTCTGTGGGGAGTTTTAGATTGGGTTAATTACCACTGGTTTGAAAAGCTTATGAGTTTTACGGACCCAAATTTTCCCCAAATTCTAGAGCAATCTTGACAAATGCCAGTACCCAGGTTTAGATCAAGGTCCAGTCTTCAGTACAAAAGCTCTGGGGCGGAGGGGACAGGGATGAGGCTCTCCCTGGGAAAAGGAGTTCTATTTAGAAAAGACCTTCCAGCATTTGTGTGAGGCCCTGTACGATGGTAAGGAAGCAGCGAGAGTCTAGGGAAGTCTGTTCCCAAAGATGACTTTCCCCGGTTATGCACGGGCCACACAGCTGGTCACTGCGGGGCCCAGGTGCAAGGACCACAGGTTCTCCTAGGAGGCATATTTAAACCATATCCGAACAGAGGCTCCTGGGAAGGAAGCTGCACAAAACCCCCGCTACGCGGGAGGAGAGAAAGGCTCTGCTCTGACACTCCAGGACCTGCTGGCTTCCTTACAAGCCAAGAGAACGGCCGCCTCTGGATCACCCAGTGGTTACCACAGTCAACAGCCTTCCACTACTCCATTTCCCAAGGGTGCTCCCAAGAAGGCTATTCAGGGTGAGGAGTGGGTGGAGGGCCAGCTGCGGGTTCAGTACCAGCTCCTCGAACATGTTCTGGCACTCAGGTACAGTCAGTATCTCCTAATCCTTCACTGTGGCAGTGGAGTTTTCCAGATTCCCTGGTCCCAGGGCAAAAGTCTATCACTGTACAAAGTTAGAAACTCCATTGTCTGTGGTTTTCACTGATACCACTAGTGTAGCTCACTCAGTGATCTGTCTTCACGCTTATGCCCACTGGCACAGCACCGCCCTGTACTGACACCACATCAGAACCCATTACAACTAGCCGCAGAAAGAAATGAAATGTTAAAAGCCATAAAAGGAGGCATTTCCAAAGAGACTGTTCCAACATGAAAAATAAACATAGCAGATTAAAAAAAACGTCTTATAGATTAAAAAAACTGTTAAATACTGGCTCAAAAATATCCACCCACCAAGTCAAAAGGGAGACAGTACCCTGCTGTGGCAAACGATAAAGAGCTTTTGTCTTTGAGTTCTCCATAAGATTCCACAGAATTAGAACACTTACATATTACAAGGCAAAAAGTTATGCCATTTATTTCTCAAATTGGGATTCCAACTGGATCACAGCTTCTATTTAAAAATGACCCATCTATCACACCCTTTAAGCAAGGGAAAGTATATTTAATAAATAACTTAAATGAAACGCACATGCCCAAATTCACACATAAAGGGCCCAAGGGGGCGAGCTATACAAAAGCAGTTGCGTGTGGCAAGCATCTCTCTCTCTACTCTAGCCCTGGCACACTACCCTGGGATACCAATGCCATTCAACCAAAGAAAGTCTCCTAAATCTCAGCTACCTCCCTCAAATAGAACCCCAGGACAAACCTGATGACAGGAAGGTATCAGGTCACTGCTCTGCTCTCTCCACCCAATGCCACGCCACCCTGGGATGAACCACTTAGAGAGATAAAGAAAGGAAGTACCGGGTTAAAGGAGATCACTATTTCAGTCTGGTCCTATCAAAAGCAGTCTCTGTCTGCACCCACTGGTAGCTGGTGCTTATTTTCTCAATAAGGAAAAGCCAAAGAGAAACCTACACAGATAAATTTGCTAACAAGTATTTTTAAGAATGACATAAAAATGCTCTAGACAAAGGGGCTTCTAAGAGGCTTATACTCCTCACCATCTATTGTTCACAATCCATCGAGTCAGAAGGCCGAATTTTGTACTTCTCTTCACTAGAGCTGTTACAGCAGCCAATGAAACAGGAAGTATGGAAGAGAGGACTGACAGCTGGACACAAAACCAAACCGCGCTCTCCCAGCGTCATCCTCCGTTTCAGCAGAAACGCAGCTTTTTCAAGAGTTTAAAGATGGTCAGCAAGTCCCACTCTGCTGGGCAGCTGCTCCCCCGCAGAGCCTGACTCGGCTCCGGCACAGGGTGAGGGCGGCTACACAGCCCCACAGAGCAGGCCCGCTCCAAACACTCTCACCCACCACACGGTGCTCTCTAGGCAGTGAGTATTTACACCAGATCAACGCCACGCCACTGCTTACCTCAAACACACGTGAACATCCCCAACCCAGTCAAAGCCCCAGCCCCACCTCCAAACGGCTCCTGTGCCCATCCTGACAAGGAGAGGGGAGGTGCGGCAACCCTCCTCAAACACTGGTGCTAAGCCACAACCGCTTCCAAAGGAGAATATGCTCTTTCAAATCCTCTCAGCCCTGCAGAGAGGGATGCTCCCTTCCTCCCTAGGACTCCAGCTTGCTCCCAGCAGACAGTCTAGCCTGCACACCTGATCCCTTAGAAGGATACAATATAACCCCACCCACGAGGAGCAACCCTGGACATAAAGCCAGCTGGCCCCATCCTAGTCACACTCCAGAGTTTCCAGTACATTCAGATATTTCAGCAAATCTCTATCGAGCCGCCAGTGACTTCCCTTGGGTCACAGTGATTTGGCACAGAAGTACTGGCACCAGAGATGTTTTAGGCAAAGGGAGACTGAATGAAGATGAGTTCAGCAACCACACAATTACTTTGGCATCACTGAGGAAAGGGGAAGAGAGGGAAGGGAGGGAGGAGGGACAAAGTTTAATAACTGACATTTGTGAAAATATGCTATCATTCTGAATTCTCCTCTTTCAATAACGCAGGTCAAATACCCTGCAATCTCAGGTCCAAGAAATAATTTTTGTATTTCCAAGAAAGCTGTAGTTCTTTGCACACAAATGGTATTGAGGAATATGGCCTCATGAGATAAAGAGCTTTCCCAAAGCCTAAGGTGAAAACAAAAGGGAAAGACATCTGTCTTAAACACAATTTAGATGACCTATCCAAAAAATGGCTATAAAAAAACAAACAACAGATAAACAAGAAATAACCAAAATACCACCCATACTATCAAAACAGAGAAAAAGCCCCAAGTATCAGTTACAAATAATATCAATCCACCAGGGCTGACAGTACTTAAAAAAAAAAAAAAAAAAAAATCACTGGTAGTTGAGCACAACTTTCATATTTTTAAAAATAATATCTGCTTAAACAAATACATGGAATGAGCCCTAGAGCCCACCTGGTTCTGCCAATTTACTGTGCTGTGTGAGCTGGCTGGCTGGTTAGTGGTTTCCCCATAATGTTTTCAGAGACAGAGAAAGAGAGAGATGCCAGCACCCATTCAGCAGAGTCTGCAGACATTATCCAGTGAGTGGGGTTAGAGGTATCAGTCAGGTCATAGGATTAGTTGACTTTCACAATACAAAACGCAGCAGGCTGCAAGTCCAAGCTTCTCCGTGAGCAATAATGATGCCTGGCTCACTAAAGGGAAAGTTCCAGGTGGACAACAGGAGCACTCTGGATCCTTCAGAGGAATCCTAGGTTGAAAGAAAAACAAGAACATTAAGCACATTTATAAATATTTCTTTTTGCAAACATCCCACCTGAAAGCTAGAGAAGCTATACTTAATATTTTCTACAAATTGAGAGTTAAAGAGCTTAACGGAGTATTTATGACTTTCTACCAAGTAAACACCACCTTGTCCATGTGCCCTAATCTCAGTTCATTAAAACAACTTAATGGCAGTAACAGCTACCGCTGTGCTAAGTGCATATTTTGCGCCAGACTCTGCTCTGAGTTCCTTAGGTACATGACCTCACTTATCTTCACAACAATCTGTGCATGAGATAGCGCTCTTGCCATGTTACAGGGGAAGAATCGGAAGCCTACACAAGTTAACTTTCCCCAAGATAAACAGATATAAGCAGCAAAGCTGGGAGTTGAACCCAAGCCTAACTGAAAACAGAGCTCATGGCCTCACCACCACTATGCCTCTCACCAGCGAATGCTTACTAAATGCCTACTGGAGGTAAGGCACTCTCAGAGGCAGCGGCAGAAGTAGAGGTAAGGTACCCAGTACCGGGAGGAAGGGAACAGAAGACAGACGGTCACAAATGTATTCTTAGGTCTGGCCCTTGTCTTCCAGAAGAGAAACTAGCCACAGATATCAGACAATATATGTGAAGTAAATAACTATAATAAATCATACTAAATGTCAACGTTTTAGTACCGTCAATAAGAATTCAAAGGAAAACGTACATCTGGCTGGCTTAGCCAAAGAAGGTTTCAAAGAGGACGTGTGGTTTAGGTTGGGCTTTGAAGAATGGGTAAGAGTCTCACTACTCAAAATAATGCCCATTAATAAGAAGATGCTAAATCGGCAGTTCTCCTCAGGGGGTGAATTTGCTCCCTCCTCCCCAGGGGACACTTGGAGATGTTTGGAGGCATTTTGGCTGTCAAAACTGGGGGAAGAAGGGTACTACTGGCATCTAATGGGTAGAGACCAGGGGATACTGCTAACCATGGTACAATGTACAAGGCAGCTCCCCACGACAAAGAATCATCTGACCCAAAATGTCCAGTGCCAAGTTGAGAAACCCTGTGCTAAAGAAATGTCTTTTTGGAGTGTGCTCTTGACGATGATAATAAAGTTGCATTATTTCCCTCAAATAATATTCCTTTTACAAAATCACCATCAAAAAACTCTAGTTAATATTCATTGTATAGAAGAATTAGACGGCAGTAAGTGGATCTGTGGCCTTGGAAACGGGAAGAGAGTTCAGATCTGGAGATGCAGGTCTGGGAGCAGTTATCCTACAGAGAAAACAGAGCTGTGGGTTAGCCCAAGCTGCTAAGAGGTAAAAAGCAAGAGCAGAGATAAGCAGAGAACTCAAGACAGAGCCCTTAAAAACACAAAGAGGAGGGGCACCAGGGTGGCTTAGTGAGAGGGACGTCCAACTCTTGGCTCCACTCAGACTGTGATCTTGTGGTGGTGAGAGCACTGGGCTCCGCGCTCAGCAGCGAGTCTTCCTGTCCCTCCCCTTCTGCTCCTCCTCAACTCCACTTGTGCACTCATTCTCTCTCTCTCTCAAGTAAGTAAAATCGTAAAAAAAAAAAAAAAAAAAATGAAAAGGGGAGGGGTAGGCCTGCAATTTTAAGCTACCACAGAGGTGGAAAAGAATTCACAAGGGAGAACAAGAAGAGGGAGCATCGTGACAGCCAAGGCAGGCCTTTCAGGAGGTAGGAAGTGACCAAGGAGAGAGAAGAATGAAAATACCACTGTCTCATCCAATCCAAAGTGTTCATTATGTGTGGGCCCCCACTTTTTTGCACCACTTTTTTTTTTTTTTTTTTATTTTTTTTGCTTCCAGAAAGGATTTTTTTTTTTTTTTAATTTTTAAGTAGACTCCATGCCCAACGTGGGGCTTGAACTCATGACCCTGAGATCCAGAGTCACATGCTCTGTTGACCGAGAGACAGCTGGGCACACCTGATTCACTAACATTTTTGAGAATCTAATAAAACTATACGTTCTGTCCTCCAGAAAAATGTACATAGGCACCTACACATAAAATGACATCAACAATACCAGGAGCTTGATCAGAGCCCTTAGGAGGTCCACACATAACAGCGCAAGAATCCCTGCTCTACGTCTTCTTGCTAAAATAGGAACTTGGCTTATTTCTTTAATGCAATTCTCTCTCCTGAAAGTGTAATTGTCAATATAAAAAGACTTACCATTTCTTGATTCTTTTCTTTTTTATTTTAAAGATTTTATTTATTTGAGAGAGAGCAAGAGTGAGAGAGTCACAGAGGGAGAGGGAGCAGACCCCCGCCAAGCAGAGACCAACGCAGGCCTCGACCCCAGGACCCTGGGATCATGACCTGAACCAAAGGCAAATGCTTAACCGACTGAGCCACCCAGGTGCCCCTTTTCATTATTTTCAAAAAATGAGCGCCACAAAAGGTATAACTGATAAAAAAAACAAGATATCCTTCAAAAATAACTTATGTGTAGTTTTGATTCACGGATATATACGATTCACAGATACATATGTAGAAATATTTAGACACATATAACTCAAACACCCAACTCCCCTCAATCAGACAGCCCTCCCTGCAAGTCAGAAGCAAGATGGAAAGAAAAGAGCGTTCAGATAATTCATTAAAGGATAAGGAATGAGACTATACTGAAATCTAATCTTCTAGAAAAGAATAAAGATTTATCCATAAGGACTGGACTTCGGTTCTCTTTCTATTGCTGATGTCTCAAATCGTAATTACGCTCATGTCTCAGCAGTAAAATGCACATGTCAAACCAGGGATCACTTCATCTGTCACACGAACCTTACAAAACAAACAAGCCTCAGCCAGTTCTCTCTAGTCACAATGATGGCTACTTGTTAATGCTTCTAAAACATTATTTCAATTAAGCCTCATAAGAAATCTGTGAACTCGATATAACTATTATCCTATTTTCAGAGGAGGAGACAGGCTCAGAGAGAATGAATGGTTCTGGGGCACATGGGTGGCTCAGTCAGTTAAGCAACTGCCTCTGGCTCAGGTCGTGATCCCAGGGTCAGGGATTGAGCCCCACGTCGGGCTCCCTGCTCAGTGGGGAGCCTGCTTCTCCCTCTCCCTCTGCCTGCCGCTCTCTCTCTCTGTCAAATAAATAAATAAAATCTTAAAAAAAAAAGAGAGAGAGAGAATGAATGGTTTTCCTGGGCCAGAGGAATGATGACTCAAATCAGGTACATCAAATCCCCTGGTCCTCCCTGGGGACCACACGGCTTCTTCAAAGGAAAGGACAGCAGCGGCTGCCTTTTACCAGGAGCCTTGGGCAACCAGCAGTCCCCGCACCAAATAATCTTTTTTGCCCTAAGTAGCCTCAAAAATATGTTGTATGATATGATTTCCAGGGTCCGTCGGCCGTTTATTAGCTGGAAAGCCTCACTGAATAAACAAGGCCAAAGTCTACACAGAAAAAGAACATAACTATTCCATGTTTATTGAACATATTCTTAGCACTTCTGTACTTGGTTTCACAAATTAGTTCACACTTGCTTTTAATTTGCTTAACAAGTATTCTTAAGATTTTTTTCACATGTGACCAATCTGTCCAAGAATGCAGGGATCATGTGGGTCTGTCTTCACAGCTCTGCCTGTCAGCACCTGGGACAGCGCTGAGTAGATGATCAATAACCATCTGCTGAACAAAGGCAAGGGCAAAGACCCAGCCTGGCAATTGTATGCTGCTTCCGACACCGGGAATTCAAACCACTACTGAGGGACTAGATGCAGAGAGGACTTACGTGCAGTCAGAACACAGAATAAGTACAATGAGTACCTTTTTTCCCCTCTTTCTTCCCCTCAGACCATTTCAATCTTGTTGGTGTCATCGTGACAGCTGGAGAGCCAGAAAATAACTGTAACAAAAACATTTTATAGTGGCTTAAACGCTCTAATGTCATTCCTACAGACAGACTTTACTAACAGAAGAATTATTTGCTTGTTCAGTTTCCATGTGAAGAGTTTTACTGAGGCTGATTATATTCATATCATTATGATATAATGATATTTATATCATTAGTCTTAACTGATTTTATCGCTGGCTTAACGAAGCAGCATGTGTGGGATACCCAGAAGGACTACCCAACAGATAATGCAGTGCCGAGTAGGCCCAGCTCAAATGCTACCTGCCCCATAGAGTCTCCCAGTAAGAACTAGTCCCTCCAGCACTTTGTTTGCGGAGCTCTTTCACTGTTATTTGTCATCTCCGCATATGACTGGCTATATCCTCCTGGAACTCCACATGTGTTTGTTTTGACCATCAACATAAATGAAAGGATTGAGAAAAAGGCACAGTTGAATGGCCCAGAGAAACACAGTAAAACAGATGACAGTCTATCAATATTTCTCCTTCCTACAAATATACACAAAGAGGAAGTCCAAAGAACAGTATCTTACTAAGTTCATATTTTCTTTGCTGGCTCTCTTCAATTCACCAATGGCTACAGATTCCAGAGTAGAGTACTTGTTTTTCTTTTCTGACATCATCTGATTTCCCAGGACCTTCCGCTGATTTAGGAAGAGAAAATATGTGATTTATAAAGATCTACTATATCTGTATTACAGCTATACTGGTCATTAAATCTACAGTTTCTTAGTTTAAAAGAATTTCAGATTTCTGATAAATTCTCCCAGGCCATCTTATACAAGGGAGGCCAAAGCATGTTACAAAAAACCCCGAAATCATTGCCTTTCTTTAGGTGATCATTTTTCCTCTACATTTAAAATAGCTGAAATATAAGAAACAGTTTTATAGTTGATTTAAACGAGCTAATGCAGGCCAATTACAGTGTGCTTCTGAGACCATTAACAAACAACCCCCACCAGTTATTTACCAGTATAATTTTTGCCCCCGAGACGTGTTGTCTCTGGCAGCTGTTGAGAGCCCCCTCCCTACTCAGGGACACTTCTGCCGCGTCCACTCTAAGACTGCTTCCCTATCATGTCCTCGCACAGGATTAGAAAACTTGGAGAAAGTCTTTAAGAGTTTCTAATACAGCCACAAGAGTGTTCAGGCCTTCTTAAGGGGGTCACATGACCATACTGTCATTCAGAGCAGGACTAAAAGCCTTTCATCTCTGAACAGCTTAGAAACTGACATAACCTACTGTAACAGCTGACAGTGACAATTCTACCATCTTTGGGGAAACTTCCCTTTTTTCTTCTTAGAGAATAAGTTTAAATCCTCAAAAAAGAACTGAACAAAACTAGAACATTAAACTCTACAATATAAATCTTAGCAGCAATAGAAGTAATATCCCAATGTAATAAATTATTTACATAAGAGAAATTCTAGAGGAAAAAGTCTAGCCCAAAAAAGGGATCAAAGCAGAATATAGATCAAATAGCTAAAACACAGAAATGCTGGAAAAATGAGACCACTATATCTTCCTTTCAGAAATCAGCTATCACCTCAGAGTAAGCTGAAATGGGGATGCCAAGAGCCACAGGACTGGCTATAAAGCTTCCAATGAACTTTTTTTTTTTAGATTTTATTTATTTATTTGAGAGAGAGAAAGAGATAGCAAGCAAGAGAGAGAGCACATGCAGGGAGGAGGGAGAGGCGAGGAGGAGAGGGAGGGAGTTCCCTGCTCAGCAAGGAACCCCACGTGGGGCTCGACCCTGAGACTATGACCTGAGCCAAAGGCAGCCGCCTAACCAACTGAGCCACCCAGGCGCCCCTCCAATGAACTTTAAAAAAGACATTTCAGGGGCGCCTGGGTGGCTCAGTTGGTTAAGCATCTGACTCTTGGTTTCAGTGCAGGTCATGATCTCAGGGTGGTGAGATTGAGCCTCTCTCCCTCTGCCCCTCCCTCTGCTCACACTTGCACTCTCACACTCTCTCTGAAATAAATAAAATCTTTAAAAAAAACGGGGGGGGAGGCTCCTGGGTGGCTCAGTCGTTAAGCGTCTGCCTTTGGCTCAGGTTATGATCCCAGGGTCCTGGGATCAAGCCCCGCATCGGGCTCCCTGCTCTGCGGGAAGCCTGCTTCTCCCTCTCCCACTCTCCCTGCTTGTGTTCCTGCTCTCACTATGTCTCTCTGTCAAATAAATAAAATCTTTTTTTTTAATAAATAAAATCTTTAAATAAATAAATAAATAAATAAATAAATAAAATAAGGGCGCCTGGGTGGCTCAGTTGGTTAAGCGATTGCCTTCAGCTCAAGTCATGATCCTGGAGTCCCTGGATCGAGTCCCGCATTGGACTCCCTGCTCGGCAGGGAGTCTGCTTCTCCCTCTGACCCTAACCCCTCTCACGTGCTCTCTCTCATTCTCTCTCTCTCAAATAAATAAAATCTTAAAAAAAAAAATAAAAATAAGTGGAGCATCCCCTTAAAAAAAAAAAAGACATTTCATTACCCCATCACTATTGAGCAGAAACCACTATCTATTATTAGCTCAAGTCTCTTCATTTATAACAAAAACAATTTATCCTGTTTCATAAAATTTGTTAACATTTGTATTTAAAATTATTGTTCTGGGGCGCCTGGGTGGCTCAGTCCGGTAAAAGGCTGCCTTCAGCTCGGGGCATGATCCTGGGGTCCTGGAATCGAGTCCCACGTCCGGCTCCCTGCTCAGCGGAGATCCTGCTTCTCCCTCTCCCTCTGCCTGCCACTCTGCCTACTTGTGCTCTCTATCTGTCAAATAGATAAAGTCTTTAAAAAAATAAAATAAAATAAAATAATTGTTCTAAAATGTCTAAAATTCTGATAGAATTATAAGCTCGTTTATAATTCTAAAGTCCTAAATTCTCTTAGTAAAGAAATGGGCAGCCGCCAAGAGGATACTCCATATTTACATTTCAAGCCACGCTTAGCAATACATCTAGAGCCACTGCAGAACTTTCTTTCACTAGGAAGAGAAAACTACACCCATCTAGCTTCAGTTAAAGAAATATTTGTTTAACACATAGAGAAACCTTTATTTGACTAATAACTTTTCTTGTTATCAATCAGCTCAATGACAGGAAGTCAGAGGGAATGACAGACCTCCAAGTAAAATGAACCGACAACGATGTTCATTTTATGAACTACACCTAGCAGGTAAATATACTGCTAGGGTAGGGTTCTAGCAAAATAAATTACTTTTTAATTATAGTAAAATATACATAACACAAAATTTACCATCTTAGTTCATTCCATTCATATTGTTGTGCAACCATCACCACCATCCAACTCCACAACTTTTTCATCTCCCCAAATAGAACCTGGGTATCCACTAGACAATAATTCCCAATTCCCCCCAAACCCTTAGCCCCTGACAACCACCATTCTACTTTCTTTCTCTATGAATTTGACTATTCTAGGTATCTCACATAAGTGGAATTATATAGTACTTGTACTTTGTGACTGGTTTATTTCATTTAACATAACGTCCTCAAGGCTTATCGATGTTGTAGCATATGTTAGGATTTCCTCTAGGGGCGCCTGGGTGGCTCACTCATTAAGCGTCTGCCTTCGGCTTAGGTCATGATCCTAGGGTCCTGGGATCGAGCCCCATGTCAGACTCCCTGCTCTGCAGGAGCCTGCTTCTCCCTCTCCCTCTGCCTCTCCCCCTACATGTGCTCTCTCTGTGTTATCTCTGTGTCTCAAATGAATAAATAAAATCTTAAAAAAAAAAAAAAAATTTCCTTTCTTTTTAAGGCTGAATAATATTCCACTGCATGTATATACAACATTTTGTTTATCCATTCATCTGTCAATAGATACTTGAGTGGCTTCCACCTTTTGGTTACTGTGAATAATGCTGCTACAAACATGGGTGTGCAAACTATCTATTCATGTCCTTGCTTTCAATTCTTTTGGGTACATACCCAGAAGTAGAATTGCTGAATATTTAATTTTTTGAGGAACTGCCATCCTGTTATCCATGACAGGTGCACCATTTTACATTCCCACCAACAGTGCACGAGGGTTTCAATGTCTCCACATCCCCACCAACACTTGTTATTCTCTGGCTTTTTTAATAATAGTCATCCTACTGTGCCTTGCTATCTCACTGTGGTTTTGATTTGCATTTTCCTAAAGATAAGTGATATTGAGTATCTTTGTATATCTTCTTTGGAGAAATGTCTAAGTCCTTTGCTCATTTTTAAATTTTTTTTCCTGTTTTTGTAAGAGTTCATTATATATTCTAGACATTAAATTCCCTCTCAGACATATGTTTTACAAATATTTTGTTCCATTCTGTGAGTTGCCTTTTCACTCTGTTGATCACAAAGGAAATTTTGATGGTAAGCAAGACTAATGTCTCAGAGGCTATTGCCCCCCAAAGATCAGGATTGAAAGTGAATTCTAAACTTCTATAAATGATAATAGCTAAGACCAAAATGAGGCTTAGATGATGCAGCAATGACTAACAACTGCAGCTTAAAGAAAAAAATATATATTACAAGGTATTTATTTTTATTTTTCATTTTAATCAGAGCTCCTTACTGTTGCTGGATTTATAGATTTTAATAATGTTAAAAACAATTTTAAAAAGAAAACCAGCAGAACACAGAACTGTGCTTAACCTCTCTCCAAGTTAACCAGAACCTTGCCTTAGTTTATGCCTGAAAATTTGAACCCCATTATCACATTATCTACTGCCACCTGATGGCAATATGCCTTAACTACAAGTTCAGATCGTCCATGAGGACGTGTAAATTGAATCCACAAGCATAGTGATGGCAGCCACAGCACAGTAGATACTGCACTTGTTTTAAAAACAAGATTTTTAAGTAATTTGTTATAAAAGAAGAGAATATACAAGTGATTAAAATATTAAGCTTACAAAAATTTGAGTTAACTTGCTAGCCTAACAGAAAATCCATTTCCTAACCATTTCTGGGAGTCTGTCAACTCCCTCACTTCTCCATAGCTTTTGCAAATCGTGCAGTGAACCTTGTAGCACAAAGCAAAGCACTCTCCTCACTGCTCAGGAATGGGGACTCTGTCCTCAGTCCCAAAGAGAAGGAAGGACCTTTCTTTTACTCTCTAATCGTACAGCCCCTTCTCCAAGTCGAAACACAGCAAAATGCTGTAAAAACTACAAGTTTTTCTGAATTCTATCCTTATCCTTACAGATGAACCCTTTACAGGATCCCAAAGAATAGAAGAAAACTGTTCATGCATAAGAAAAGTCAGACTGTTAAGCTTTCTCTAAGTCAATGCTGAAAACGACAGCACAGCATACCTACCTTAATAAGGCCACTGAAGGAACGTGAACGGGCTCTTTTCTGTACCCGAGGAGAAGATTCTCGCCCTGGCGTTTGGGTCACAGTTTGCTTATTAAACTAAGAGGAAACATAAACATTTTACTATTATTTCCCCCATCAAGAGATAGGATTCTGTGACCATCAAAAGCTAAGTGTAAATATCCAGAAAAGTCCAAAGAATAAGTGAGTCTGTACACATATGGCTTAGTAGGTTGGCAAGCAAATCTCAAAGGCAGAAATGACTGTTGCCAAAAAAAAGGTCAAAATTTATTAAATTACTCTAAGGAGACTGCACCTCATTTTCCTTTTTCTTATGTACTATAAGGTTGGAAGTATTACCCCTATTTTACAGATAAGGAAACTGAGACCCAGAGAATTATGTAATTTGCCCAACATCTCCAGCTGGTAATCCAGATTTTTTTGCAGAAAGTATCTTGGACATAGAGAGTGACTAACACAACCTAAAACAGTCCTTAATTTAACATAAATTGCATACAGAAAAAAGAAGTTACTAAAGCTCTTTAAATGGACATCTATCATGATTGCTTGCCAGCATTATCATCAGAGGAAATACATCAAAATAAAAAGTGGTCAATTGAAATGGAAGACATAAAACACTGTACTGTCTTATTTAATGCTTTGATTAGCCATGCATCTCCCCAGTTAAAAAATAATGATATAATACTTAATTCTTCTACTTGTCTGCCTTTTCTAACTATAGTTTTTAAATATGTGAATTGTAATTTTGCAAATTTTTATCAGTTCGGGTTCCGTTCTGGAGGTTTAAAAAAAATGACACTTTTCATACATATTATACAGGTACCAAAAAGTTCCCAAAGTTAATTATCAGAAAATTTAGTCACTTCTAAAGAGCTTAGAAAGCAAGCATCCCTCCTGGCTATATTGGAACAAGTGACAAACCATCATTTCTGATAATGTTGGCAGGTGCAAGAAGGGGTGGTTCTCTTGTATCCAGCTGGTGGGAGCATTAATAATTTTCTGGGAAGCTATTTAGCAATGTGTGTCCAGAGTCTTTTCAAAATGCATACAGTAGTCCCCCTTTACTCGTAGTTTTGCTTTCCAAGGTGTTACCCATAATCAACCGCAGTCCAGAAGCAGATGATCCTCCTTCTGATGTATTGTCAGAAGGTCAGTAGTAGCCTATGCTGTGTCACAACCTAGGTCATTCAGCTCACTTCAGCTAATCACATAAGTATTTTACCATCTCACATCATCACAGGAAGGATGAGTATAGTGTAGTAAGGATTTTGAAAGATAACACATCCACATAACTTTTATTACAGTATACTGCTATACTTGTTCTATTTATTAATTATTGTTAATCTCTCACTGTGCCTAATTTATAAACTAAACTTTATTGTAAGTATATACGTATTTTAAAAAACCCACAGTATATATACGGTTCAGTACTATCTGTGGTTTGCAGGCATCCACTGGGGGGTCTTGGAATGCATCCCCCATAGCTAAGGGGCAGGAACTACTGTATTAAAAAATACACACTACCTATGAAGTTCTTACCCAAAAACTAACTAAATAAAACTAATCAGTATTCAGATCAAGCTTCTAGAATTAGATCTAACTACAAACTTATCATAAATACAGAGGACTGAGGAACATGTTCAATAACACAAGGGTGCAATCAGCAAAATCTAGACTGTGGAAAACAAACTATATGGTTTCTTTCACAAACAAAGGGCAGAGAGAGAGAGGGAGAGAGAATGTGTATATGTGTGTGTTTAAATGCAGTGTAGTAACCTGGATTAGGTTCTGGCACAGAAAAAGGCTATTAGCAAAAAAACTGCTAAAATCTGAATAAACTCTCATGTTAATAGTAATACACTAATGTTAATTTCTTAGTTTTAACAATGTTAACATTAGGAGTGAAGGGTACCCTCAGTGGAGGGTATATGAGAATTCTCTGTACTATCTTTGCAATTTTTCTCTAAATCTAAATTATGTCAAATTTAAGTTTATTCAAACAAACTTTGGCAATTTTTTAGGGGGAAAACAAGAAGAGAGGAGAGAAAGGGGGACCTATATATTAAAAGGGACCCAATAGCTGTTACCAGAAAAAAAAAAATGCATACCCGTTGGTCATGCCACTTCTAGGGAAAACTCTGCAATGAAAATACCAATGACCAAAAATTTATAAGCTAAAAAATAATCTAATTCCCAAATATGTCCAAGAGTAAGCAAACTGTATATACATTAAATTATATGTGATGAAATATTATGCAGCTGTAAAATGTGCACAGCCTTTTAATGACATGGAAAATAATCATGATATAATGTTAAATGAAAAGGACAGGAATTTTAAAAACTGAATATATATTATGATCTCAAACAAAAGAACAAAAAAGTCAAATACATGTTCATGGAAAGAAAATAATCATAGAAGAAAATACTCCAAAACTTTTATCAGTGGTTATCTCAGGATGATTACAGGTGATTTTCTTCTTTACACTCTTCTGCAGGTTCCACTGTTTCTACAGTGAATATTTACTATTTTTATAATAACAGAGGAAAATCAGGAACTAGTAAAATTATAGTTTCGTCAAAACAAAGTGGCAATATTTTAAACGTAGGCAAGGAGTTCACAAGCATGCACAAGAAAATGCTTATGCTGTAATGTTTAGTGAAAAGAGAGAGATCAAAGAAAGTATGTGGTATGATCCAAACTATATAGAAATTTATCGATAGGAAAAAGACTGAAAGAAATATCCAAAATGTTAACCCTCGTGGGATGAATGATTTGTTTTCTTCTTAACCTTCTCTATGAGTTCCTATTTTTCTAGAAAGAGCAAAAATGTCAGTTTTTCCTTTGTATTATCTTTAAGCCTCTGCTTGCTTTCTTTTTTTTTTTTAAAGATTTTATTTATTTATTTGACAGAGAGAGACACAGCGAGAGAGGGAACACAAGCAGGGGGAGTGGAAGCGGGAGAAGCAGGCTTCCCGCTGAGCAGGGAGCCCGATGCGGGGTTCGATCCCAGAACCCTGGGATCATGACCTGAGCCGAAGGCAAACGCTTAACAACTGAGCCACCTAGGCGCCCCAAGCTTCTGCTCTCTTGATGACAGAATTCATGACACTTTGCCCACCTGAACTGCTGTCTTAGTTTCCATCGAGAATTAAATCACTACACCGCTTTGTATCTGCGATAATACTCAGCCAACATCCTTGAAAATTCCAGTCATAACATAATTTGCTAGATCTCAAAGTAACTTCAAAGAGTGTAACAGAAAACTTCTCTTGAAGGACTCTATCAATTGTTAAGAACAGCTCAGTTCAACATTTTCTGAGCACATGGTTATGTCTGGCTCTATGCTTCAGATTAGGCATAAAAAATAAATAAAAACACAGACTTCCCTCAAGAAGGTCCCAGTTGAGTAAGAAGTCAAGAGGCTGACTTTGCCTGTTCAGCTAAAATTCAAGAGGGATAGAGACAAAATAAATTTCCCAAGAAAGAAACTAACGAAATCATTGGGATTACTCAAACTACATTTTGAGTCTCAAAATGGCAAATGAGACCTAATTTTGCTCCCGCTAACTCCAAAATAAACAAACTTAGCTACCAGAATTCCTACTTTCTAATATCAAACTAGGTCCCAGAATTTACAGTGTTTTCTAACTGTAAACAACTCATTAGTAAGAGCTACCACTTTTGCTCTGCTATGCCAGCCACTTTACACAGATTCTTTCTAATTTTTATATAGTCATGAAACATGGACATTTCAATTACCATTTAAAAAACAAGGAAATTGAAATTCAGAAAGATTAAATTATTTGCCAAGAAAATCTGAAGGATTTAAACTTTGGAGCAATATACTGCAACTGCTGGTTCTCTTCTCAGCATGCCTGGTACGTGACCAAAATTAGAGAAACTCTAACCATACTTGGATCCTTCTGTTTAACTCTAGAAATCCAAGAGCCTCCACTCTTTTCTGTAACGGGGCAGTAGTACAGAGACTGACATTGACGTTCCATTGACAAGTCTGCTTTCCTAGCCAAGCCAAGCTTGGGCCAATAAGAGCCAAAAATTAAATGAGATTCTTAGCAATATTCCCTAGTGATTCCACAACCTTGATCACAGTCCTAAAGCCCCGTCACTGTTTCTGTGCCTTCAGGTACCTGTCTAATAAGTTGTTTCTTCTTCGCTGACTCTGGCATATTGTGAACATGTTGGAACAACTCTCTCAATGCCTCTTCCGTACGCTGCTGGGTCTCCTCCTGGTGAGAGCAGGAATCTACCCAGTTCCGTTTCTGAGATTTTGCCCGTTGGAAGGACTTAGTAGGACATGAAGCTATCAAATCAAGATCATCCTAGAGAAAATTTTAAAGAAAAGAGAATTAATATATCCTGCCAGCTTTGTTTTCAGGTTCCCACAACCCCTGAAACAAAGAAGGAGGAAGAAGGGGAGAGCGTGGTGTACTCTTATACTTAGGAATAAGAAAAATCTAAATAAAATTATCACATGAAGAAAAACCTGTAATTATAGACTATATTAATAGCCCACTCCCAAGACCTCCCTAGAGAACCTAAATTCATTTAGAATATTGCTACCAAAAATTATATATATATTTTTTTACGATTTTATTTATTTATTTGACGGAGAGAGACACAGCGAGAGAGGGAACATAAGCAGGGGGAGTGGAAGAGGGAGAAGCAGGCTTCCCGCTGAGCAGGGAGCCCGATGTGGGGCTTGACCCCAGGACCCTGAGATCATGACCCAAGCCGAAGGCAGATGCTTAACGCCTGAGCAACCCAGGCGCCCCCCAAAATTATATTTATATGAGTTCAATTTTCAAAGCCATTTAATTGCACATAACTCTCACTGCTTTCCTATGAGGTAAGCAGGGAAAGTATCATCATTCCCATTTGATAGAAGAAAAAATTAAAGTTAAGCTCTAAGTTTAAAGTCATTTAGATACTAAAATGACAGACCCATCCAAGTGCACAGGCTCTTGGTTGGTGCTCTTTGCTACACACAACAATATGATGGGACAACTACACAGCAGTGGTTGAGGAATAGAAACACCTCTCTAAGAAAAGCTACACTCCAGTTAAACTAGTTGAAATCAAATACTGTTTTCCTGGTCACACCAAATAGTTACTGAATGAGAGGTAGAAACAAAGAGGAGCAAAAACAACAACATAAGATGACAGCATAAGTTCCTAACCAAGACAGACTAAATATAGATCATCAAAAAGTACTTGTGTAGGGGCGCCTGGGTGGCTCAGTCATTAAGCGTCTGCCTTCGGCTCAGGCCCTGATGCCAGGGCCCTGGGATCAAGCTCCGCATCGGGCTCCCGGCTCCGCGGGAAGCCTGCTTCTCCCTCTCCCACTCCCCCTGCTTGTGTTCTCTCTCTGTCAAACAAATAAATAAAATCTAAAAAAAAAAAAAAAAAGAGTACTTGTGGAGTTTTTTTAAACTTCTCAGTTTTAAAGCTCAGTAATTATACATAATCTTATTAGTAAGCATCACACATTTGCTTTCTAAGCTCATGTGGTCTCAAGTCTTTGAGACGTTTGACAGAGTGTTACCGCTGAACCTGAAACAAGAACGTATTATCGAAAACCATGATTTATTGCTGTAAAATATTTAATACATTTGCTATTTACAGCCTGTTTCTATCATATGCTATACGAATGCACAAGGGCTTTATGAAAACCTTTAAACATGCAGTCTATGCCGTCACTCATATGGAGGGGACACCACCACCAGTGGAGGACCTCTGAAAGGAAACAAGACGACACTATGTGGGGGCATTTTTATTTCAACATATAACTTTCCTCTGAGTCTTTTTCTTTATCTCAAACTGACAACTTTGAACTATAACAATAGCAACATTTTATCTTCCATGGCTTTACTCTGATTTCACACTTTGTTTTAAAACTCCACTAAACTTAATTAACTCTTTCCTTGTTTGGGCTAAGAGCAATTTCCTATTCTTACCTTTGATGCTTGAGTTCTGGAGCCCAAATAGTGCAATCTGGCACATTCCCGAATATAAACAGGAGCCTAGGCAGGATATAAAAAGAAAACCAAGAACAAGTAGTTAGCAGTATCTAAAATCCTTTCAGACCACGAGAATAGTGATTCTCGAAATAATCTGACTGGCAGATTATTTCAGAAAATTAAAAGATCCTTAAAGTGCCCTATTCCATAGCTTCCTATCTCTTGCCACCAAAATGATATCTCAACAAATCTGACAGGAAAACTGTTTTTAAAAAGACAAAACTGTAGTTTTAAAAATCAAATGTGGCATGTATATACTCAAATGAGCCAGAAACAAAGGTATAGACATTTGTAGTAATGTTTATCTTTAACAAGAACTACCCCAAAAGGGGCAGCTGGGTGGCTTAGTCAGTTAAGCAGCCAGCTCTTGATTTCGGCTCAGGTCACAATCTCAGAGTCCTGGGATTGAGCCCCATGTGGGGCTCCGAGTTCACTGGAGAGTCTGCTTGAGTTTCTCTCCCTCTGCCCCTCCACACACACGCACGCACTCTCTCTCAAACAAATAAATCTTTTTTTTTTTAAGATTTTATTTATTTATTTGTCAGAGAGAGAGCGTGTGCACAAGCAGGCGGAGCAGGGCAGGTGGAGGGAGAAGCAGGCTCTCCGCTTAACAAGGAGCCTGACATAGGACTCGAACCCAGGACCCTGGGATCATGACCTGAGCCGAAGGCAGACGCTTAACCGACTGAGCCACCCAGGCGTCCCTCAAATAAATAAATCTTAAAAAAAAACTTACAAATTACAAGTGGTCCCTAAGTCACATTTTAAAATCACTGTACAGAAAATACCATTTAGAATTACTAAGGAGTAACAAGAGACAAGAAAGAATTTAGCTTATTGATATATTGCCCAGAATTCTATGACACATACCCTGATACAATACTAGCAGTAGCATCAAATAATACAACCACTATGGGAGAGAATTCGGTAACATCTAAGAAAATTACATTTTCATTTACCCTTTAACCCAGAAATCTCACTTTTGGAAAACTATTCTGATGATAACAACTCTAGAAATCAAAAACATACTTGGATGAGATTAATCAAAAGATTAAACACAACCTGGTTGAATGAATTTTTACACATCCATACAACACAGGACTATCTATCATTAAAAATGAAAGAAGAGGGCAACCTGTTGGGACCCCTCTCACTCTTGAGAGCTTTTTCTGTATCTTCACTTGATAAACGTCTATCACTTTACTCACAAAACAAACTGAGATTTATCTAAGTATACCTTTTTGTGTAGTTTTGACTTTTGAACCATGTAAATATTCTACAGATTCAAAAAATATGATTAAATCCAAAAGGAAAAAAGGCAAACCCTAAAACTGAACACAAACAGGAAAAAAAATGAGTATATCTGTGTATATGATTGATAACATAAACACAGAAAAAGAATTATTCTAACTTTTTGAAAACTGTATTCTGACTACACATCCTTAGTGAAATATATTCAAGGGAAAAGGAACTGTAAGGAAATCTTAAATCTTAAACTTCCATTAGCAGGTTTACATAGGCTTATTTTTGAAACTAATTTTTTTAAAGATTTATTTTTTTTATTTATTTGAGAGAAAGAGTGCACAAGTCGGGGGGTTGGGGGCAGAGGGAGAGGGAGAAGCAGACTCCCACTGAGTAGGGAGTCCAAAGTGGGGCTCCACCCCAGGACCCCAAGATCATGACCTGAGCCAAAGGCAGACACTTAACTGACTGACCCACCTATTAGCCCCAAAACTAATTTTTTATATACTGATATTTTATATATTGAAGGATAAAGCAAATAACATACAAATGCTATTTAAATCTGGAATTTGCAATGTGCAAAACTGATACAAATATAAAAGAAGTCAAGAAAAAGCTCTGGAATGTTAAATCTGAATTGGAAATATTAATATGAACTAATGATTTCTTTTTAAAAAGAATTTTAATCTACTTCTTGCCTCAAAGAGCCTAAAAGCAATGATACCCCAGAAACAATGAGCACAACTAGTGTCACTCACAGAAACCAGGGCTCCTTGAAGAAAATAATTGACTCCAGGCCCAGGGCAGAGCAAATGCAAAGTGAGCTGGGGACATTTTATGCCAGGAAGGAAACACTCAGACTAATGGAGTCCTGTCAAAAAGACACAGCAGGGAAAGCTTGCAAGGGCTCTCACTGGCCAAATTTGAAACAATTTGAAAATTAAAACTAACAACTGAAATTGACTAACACTTTGAATAACTATAAACCTTTGTCTATAAAGATGTTCATAAAAAGGGGCACCTGGGTGGCTCAGTCGTTAAGCGTCTGCCTTCGGCTCAGGTCATGATCCCAGGGTCCTGGGATCGAGCCCCGCATCCGGCTCCCTGCTCCACGGGAAGCCTGCATCTCCCTCTCCCACTCCCCCTGCTTGTGTTCCTGCTCTCGCTATCTCTCTCTGTCAAATAAATAAATAAAATCTTGGGGCGCCTGGGTGGCTCAGTTGGTTAGGCAACTGCCTTCGGCTCAGGTCATGATCCTGGAGTCCCGGGATCGAGTCCCGCATCGGGCTTCCTGCTCGGCAGGGGGTCTGCTTCTCCCTCTGACCCTCTTCCCTCTCATGCTCTCTATCTCATTCTCTCTCTCTCAAATAAATAAATAAAATCTTTAAAAAATAAATAAATAAATAAATAAAATCTTAAAAAAAAAAAAATGTTCATTAAAAAAGAGAATGACACGAGGAAAGGAAAGCTCTCTTCCAAAGAAAAAAGTCAGCTAATAAAGATTAAACAATAGAATTAGAAAACCACTGTTTTGTAATACCCAATATAATCATAGATTCCAGCAGGACTATCAATGGATGCGAAAATCATTGCATTAGGTAATCACCCTGCAGGTTACTAATTGCGAAGGGAAAAATGTACCTTTATAATTGAGAGATGTGGCAGTTAGCAAAATTAGCATCACTGAGAGACAATCTGACATCTGTGTCTCCCAATGTGATGCAATATGATGCTATACGATGTACACAAACATCACCTATGAATCTTTGCCAAAAATGTTTAACATGACTCTAATCAAGCCTCTAGACCTAACTTACAGTTTACAGGAAGTACAAAAAAAAAGGATAGAGGAACAAGTTAAATATCCTTGAGAAAACAATAAGACAAATTTAGACTATGGAATATTCTATAACCCAATTGGCCTGAATGCTTCAACAAATCAATGACATGAAGAAAAAGGACAGGAACTGTTCAAGATTAAAAGTGACATAACAATCAAAAGGAATACATAAACTTCAATTAGCTTATGTTATTAAAACCAGCAGCTATGAAATACACTCTTAGGACAACTGGGGGAATTTAAATCTGTACTGAATATTAGCTAATATAAAATTGTTATTAATTTTCTTAGGATAATGGTACTGTGACTATTAGGAGAATGTTCTTATTCTTAGGAGATGCATGCTTAAGTATTTAGATGTTAAGTATCATAATGTCTGCAATTTACTATCAGGGTTTCAGTCAAAAACAAAAATAAAAAAAACATGAATATATGGAGTAAGATAAAGCAAATATGGCAAATGGTAACATTTGTTGAATCTTAGAGTTATATGAGTGTTCACTGTTTTACTTTTACAACTTTTATCTATATTTGAAAAACTTCATAATAAAGTTTTAAAAAAAGTCTTGAGACAAAAACATTATGACATCTCCAGTTTAATTTTTACCTTGGTAAACTATAAGGCAGAGCTCAAAACCAAAGGAAATTTCCTCCGAACAAGAATATGACAGAGCCCATGCCACTTATTCTACGAAATTCATTAAAAAAAAAAAAAAAAAAACAGGCGTCTGGTGGCTCAGTCAGTGGAGCATGCGACTTTTGATCTCGGGGTTGTGAGTTCAGGCCCCACACTGGGTGTAGAGATTACTTTTTTAAAAATTAAATTTAAAAAAAGGCAAAACAAAAACACCTCTGCCCCCAAAAGACACTATGAGTTTAAGAGATACCCAGAAAGGGAGCCAGAAGCGGATGGGTTTAAATGAAAATCTGGAGGTGTTAAGTATTTTACAGTTCAGAGGGAATCAACAAAGGCCTTTCCACATAAAATGGGAATTGGCTTTAATTGTAGATGGTTATAAGTCCCTAAGAAAAGATGTTGTGACCCATACTGGAGAGACAAAACCAGACTGGGTCAGAGACACCTGGGTGGCTCAGTCAGTTGGGCCTCTGACGCTTGGTTTCAGCTCAGGTCATGATCTCATGGGTCGTGGGATCAAGCCCCACGTCAGGCACCATGGCCGGTTCTGCACTCAGTGGGGAGTCTGCTTGAGTCTCTCTCCCTCTGCCCCTCTCCAAACTGGGGGGGAGGGGGGTGGGAGGCTGAGGAGCGGTGCTCTCTCTCTCTCTCTCAAATAAATAAATAAATCTTAAAAAAGAGAAACAGACTAGGTCAGAGGGACTGATAATAGCAAAGGTTAGAACTATAAATAGGAGGAATTTTAAGGAAAAAAAAATACAAAGAACACAGAATGAGGCAACACTGAATCTGAGGATTAAGTTAAAAGTCCACCCAAAGAAGCCTGAGAACAAGAAGACACAACAAAGCATAAGAACAACAAGTCTGGGGTAAAACAGGACCTCAGAATAAGTGATAGACCACACAGAACAATCAACCATTTTCCACCCAAAGGAAAAGGTCAGGGAAGAACCCAATCAAAGTGGTGAAGCAGGGGCCCATAAGGACAACAGTTCTGATGGGAATATCAAAAAGGAGAGACCTAAGACTAAAATACATCTCAAAAGAAATGTTCTTTCTCTCCTTCAGAAATCAACAGAGGCTCATAGAGTGCTCAAACTAGGCTGGAAACAAAGGTAAAGCAGCAAACAAGAATCAAAGCCCTAAAGAGAAGGAGCTGAAATAGGGATCTATAAAAGGAAAAAGAAGAGTAAAAAACAGAATGTTTGAAAGGGTCTAATAATTAGAACTGTACCAAGCTGAATTACATCTAGGAGACCATACTCTTGTTTTATTTCTTAAGATTTGTATGATTTCTATTCTCAAAATCCTTCACAGTGATATGTTATCTTACATGGTAAAAGGGAAGTGTTGGTGTGATTAAGTTAAGAACCTTGCAATGGGGAGATTACCTGGGTTATCCAGATGGGTCCTTAAAAGCAGAGAAACATTCCCAGCTACAGTTAGAAATAACAGAGAGATATAACATTGCTAACCTTGAAGATAGAGGAAGGGGACCATGAGCCAAGGAATGTGCACAACCTCTAGAAATTCTCTCCTAGAACATCCAGAAATGAATGCAGCCCTACCAACCTTGACTTTAGACCAGTGAGACTCATGTAGACTTATGATCTACGAACTGTAAGATAACAGATTTGCGTTAAGTCACTTAATATCCTCCACAGTTAAGTACAACATCATTGTATACTTGAATTATGTACATTGGACAATGGACAAGGGAGAAAGGACTGCACAGGAAAAGAGATCAGAAGGTGGAAGGCTAGGGGCGCCTGGGTGGCTCAGTCGTTAAGCGGTTGCCTTCAGCTCAGGTCATGATCCCAGGGTCCTGGGATGGAGCCCCACATCGGGCTCCCTGCTCGGTGGGGGGCCTGCTTCTCCCTCTCCCACGCCCCCTGCTTGTGTTCCCTCTCTCGCTGTGTCTCTGTCAAATAAATAAATAAAATATTTTTTAAAAAAAAGAAGGTGGAAGGCTAGAAACCGTGGGGTGTGGCAAAAGCTCTGAGATCTCTCTTTTAATTTGTGAGTGGTAGACTATGAAAAGTTAATCCTAGAGCAATAGTAACAAGAGAATTCAACAAAGGAGAGTTCTATTAGGAACTATCTCACTAGAAATTATCTCATTTTGATTCACAACTACTGTCAGGGAACTACCTTACTCTCCATCATCACATGTTCTGGAACTAGTTGTTCCCTTCAATAGGAAGTATATAAGGAACAGGTTTGAAAGATCTTTGTTCATCATTAAAAAACCATTCATTCGGGGCACCTGGGTGGCTCAGTCAGTTGAACATCCAACTCTTGATTTCAGCTCAGGTCATGATCTCAAGTTCGTGAGATCAAGCCCTGCATCAGGCTCCACAGCCAGCGCAGAGCATGCTTGGGATTCTCTCTCTCTCCCTCTCCCCCTGCCCCTCCCTCCTAATGCACTTGCTCTCTCTCTAAAAACAAAACAAAACAAAAAAACATTCTTTGTCCTGTTGTCCTTTGTCTACTGTTCTAATCCACTTATCTAGATCTTGACCTCTAATTGATGATATCTTTGACCTGAGCACCCAAGCCCTTGATGCAGCTCTGACCCTTTGTTTACCAGCCTACTAAGATTCTGATCTTTCATTTCTAAACTCTGGACTCTGGATCATTCACCATCCTATAGTCGATAAATCCTAGGGTGGCCTCTATGTTCACACCCTGTATTTACTACAAAGCTATAGTCATCACAATAGTGTGGTACTGGTGTAAAGACAAACATATAGACTAACTGAATAGAACAAAGTCCAGAAATAAACCCTCATATATATGGTCAAATGATTTTTGATAAGCATGTCAAGACTATTCAATGGAAAAAGGACAGGTTTTCAACAAATGATGCTGGGAAAACTAGATATCCATAGCAGAAGAATAAGGCTGGACACTTACCTAATACCATATAGAAAAATTAACTCAAAATAGATTCATAACCTAAATATAAGACTTAAACCATAAAATTCTTTTTTTTTTTTTTAAGATTTATTTATTTGAGAGAGAGAGAGAGAGAGCACATGAGAGGGGGGAGGGTCAGAGGGAGAAGCAGACTCCCTGCTGAGCAGGGAGCCCGATGTGGGACTCGATCCCGGGACTCCAGGATCATGACCTGAGCCGAAGGCAGTCGCTTAACCAACTGAGCCACCCAGGCGCCCCATAAAATTCTTTTTAAATAAAAAGCATAGGACAAAGGCTTTGCAGCACTGGATTTGGCAAAGATTTCTTGCATATGACACCAAAGGCACAGGCAACAAAAGGGAAAATATAAACAAATGGGAAACTTCATAAAAAATTTTCAATTTTGTGTAGCAAGACTCTACTGAGTAAAAAGGCAACCCACAGAATGGGAGGAAATATTTACACATCATATATCTATCCAGATATATATAAAGAACTCCTACAACTCAACAATAAAAGAACAACCCAATTTAAAAACGGGCAAAGGCTTTGAACAGACATTTCGCCAAAGAAGACATGCAAATAGGCAATGAGCACACGAAAAGATGCTCAACCACCCACTAATCATTAAGGAAATGCGAATCAAAACTACAATGAGATACCACCTCATAACTATTACCAAAAAAACCAAAATAACAAAATAAGTGTTGGCGAGGATGTGAAGAAATGGGAAACATTGTATATCACTGGTGGGAATGTAAAATGATACAGCCGCTAGAAAACAGCATGGCAGCTCTGTTAGAATTACCAGTAATTCTACTTCTGGACATATACCCAAAAGAATTAAAAGCAGTGTCTCAAAAAAGATTTCTGTACACCCACGTTCAGCATTATCCACAAGAGCTAAAACTAGGAGCAACCCAAGTGTCCACAACAGATAAATGATGAGCAAATGTGGTATATACAATGAAAGGGATATTACTGATCCTTAAAACAAGAAGGAAATTCTGACAAATGCTACAACATGGATGAACCTTGAAAACATGCTAAGTGAAATAAGCTAATCACAAAAAGCGTGATTCCACTCATATGAAGAACTTCTCTCTCAATTCTCAGCCTTTCCAGATGGCAAGACACTAAAATTGAGAAATTCACTATCAGGAAAGTGTGCTCTAAAGACCAAGGATATGACTGTACAACTTTTTGTTTGAATCTTAGAAACATCAAAAGGTCAAAATTTTCAGTCACACAAAGGGCCCTTTCAAGAGAATAAAGATCCTCCCAGTCAAACCAGAGGGCCTCTGGGAAGGTGAAAGGTATTGTCCCTCAGTCTTCTCAGCAGGAGACCATGGTAGAGTAGGGTTTGTCTTCAAAAGATCTGCATGTGTGGCTTTTGTCTAACAGAGTGAATCCCTCCAAAATCCACAGAACTACAAAGTTGAGAAAATTATGTGGGCAGAAACATTGATAGTTTGGACTAAAAGGGACAAAGTACAAAATGAAAAGAGCCTGTCAGACCCTCACAACTCTACTGGCAGGAAGCAGGCCGGATAAACTCACTCATGCCAATACACACTGCCTTTCACGAAAAAGGAAAGACGACCCAGAGTGGAGCCAATTATCCTACTCAGCCTCCAGTACCTTCCTATTCCTCCCCACCTTGGTCAATTTCTCTGGGTTTCGCCACTGTCCAGTCTGGTTTCAAGTCCCAGTCAGGGCCTGCCTTAGTCATCCTTATAGCCCTGCTGAGGATCCCACCAGGCTTCAACCTCCTCGTCCCATCGCCACCCAAATCCCATCCCCTACCTACCTTAAAAAGTTTCTGGGAGTGTTTAATCATAAAAGCCATTCCATTGTTTAACTTTGTGATATTCTCTTGGAGGTCATTTGCAGTGACCTATTCAGAGGAAAAGAAATCAAAAGAGGGGGGATTAAGAGCTGGGAAGTAGAAGAGATACTCCGTTTACTTACCAAGAAGCTTATTCCTTCAAAGGTATAGTGGCTTCCTTCCCTAACAAAGGTGCCTCTAATATAATGTTTAATTCTGGAAAGGCTTTTTGGTTAGCAGGTTTCTACTGAATATGACATAGCCTAGGAGAAACCGCGCGTCCCTGAAGTTACCAAGGAATCCTTGAAAAGCAATCTTTGTTTCCGAATTCTGCTTGAGAATTATACATGCAAGCAGAGTTGCTAAAGAAAATCTAGTCTGAGATTCAAAAAATCTAGGCAGGAAGAACAGAATCTATACCAACCACCAAGAACACTGCCTCTTCAGAGAAACTGGAGTTTCTCCAAAGGCGAGAGAACTGTCACTACTAACTGATACCAAAGGTGACATCTATGTCTTAAAAACACAAATGGTCATTGATTTTCTTGTTTCTCCTGCCTCTTTTTTTAAGTACTTGAGCACTAGACTATCCCAAAGCCCTCATCTCTGTTACTTAATGTTTGCTTTTACCAAGATCTCTTAATATTTTTTTTATTTTTAAGATTTTATTTATTTGACAGAGAGGCAGCGAGAGAGGGAACACAAGCAGGGGGAGTGGGGGAGGGAGAAGCAGGCTTCCCGCTGAGCAGGACCCTGGGACCATGACCTGAGCCGAAGGAAGACGCCCAATGACTGAGCCACCCAGGCGCCCCTTAATATTTCTTTTTATAGGCACAGATTACTCACTTTTTTCATAATTTCAGTTGGCTGGCTCTGAAATTCTCTCTTTAGGAGGCTTGATCTCCTTAATATGGACCAATGTTGTGTCCTTTTCTTCTTACAGCCCGCACCCCCCCCAACCTTTGTCTGGGCAGAGGTTCTTCCCAGCCTGGAACCTCACATTTTTTTCACTAGTTACTTGTTATGTAAAATGTTCTACACAACTGCTTTCTTTCTTTTTTTTTCTTTTTTTTTCTTTTTTTTTGATAAAGTAAGCTCCATGAGCCCAATGTGAGGCTGGAACTCACGACCCCAAGATCAAGAGTCGCAAGCTCTACTGACTGAGCCAGCCAGGCATTCCACAACCGCTCTCTTTAATCTTCCTTTTCTTGTTTCTTATAATCCAGAAAATCTTTTATAAGTCACCATATCCTATCTGTTTCTAGTCTAACAACCTTATGAGATAAGTGATAAAGAACTAATTTATGCCCAGTTTACAAAGGAAGAGTCTAAGCATAAAAAGGGCAAAGGACACAGATAACATAGCTGGTTTGCAGCTTCCAACCCAAATATTCTGGCTCCCAATTCCATCATACAATAAAACCTATATTATGAATGGGCAGGAACAGGGGCACTTGGGTGGCTCAGTCAATCGGGCGTCTACCTTCGGCTCAGGTCATGATCCCAGACTCTCAGGATCGAGCCCCCATTGGGCTCCCTCCTCAGCTGGAAGTCTGCTTGTCCCTTTGCCCCTCACCCTGCTCGTGCTCTCTCCCTGCCCCCGTCTCTCTCACAAATAAATAAAATCTTTAAAAAATATATATATATATGAGTGGCAGGAACATAAAGCTATGTGCCTCCAGGTCAAAAATGAGTTCAAAAGACTTTTGATAATTTATTTCTCATGTAAGTCATGGAGAAAGCCATGATTTCATGGGGTGCCTGGGTGGCTCAGCCGTTAAGCTGAGCCGTCTGCCTTAGGCTCGGGTCATGGTCCCAGGGTCCTGGGATCAACCCCACATCGGGCTCCCTGCTCGGCGGGAAGCCTGCTTCTCCCTCTCCCACTCCCCCTGCTTGTGTTCCTGCTCTCGCTAACTCTCTCTCTGTCAAATAAATGAATAAAATCTTTATAAAAAAAAAAAGCCATGATTTCAGTAATAAAAAACACATTCAGGTTTTTCCACAGAGAGCGTATCTACAGGAAATAGAAAAGTCAGGATAAGGCAGGATTGTCCTATATCATCTTACCTAAAAGCTTAGTGACATTATCCTGTAAAACTGTATGGGTCTAGTCTAAATTTATACCACACAATCTTCAGAAATCAATCTGATTTCTCAAAAGGTTTTCCTGTTAAGAAGGAATATACAGTGACCAGCCAAAATGAGTATTCTAGTTTAGGTAGTAGCTATAATTTTGCACTAAGAGCTTCCATTCATTGTCTTTCAGGTTTATCAGGGATTGATTTATACATGAGGTTACAAGAACTGGCCCCTTCAGGTTTGATGACTCCCTAATGAACTAATAAAGTATGTTCCTAACCTTGTAAAGTTGAAGAGTAGACCTTGGACCCTTGATAACCTCACCAAGGTACAGCCAGAGGATGAGGCCCAGCCCAAGAAAACCAAGCAGTCTTTGCTCTTCCCCTTAACACTCACATTTTTTGGCCACAGGACATGGGGTGCAAACATAAGGGCAAGGTTATAGGCAGACATTTTATTCTTGTCTTGTTTCTTTGCTGTCTGGTACAGGAGATCAAGCAATAACTTCAGCAAGTTACGATTGGGTGGAGGGAGAATGAGGAAGAGCAACTGGAGAGCCTCAATCTGCCGCTCCTTATCCGGTACATTGGTCTTGTTTCCTTTATCATCAAACTGCATCAAATCTTAAGGACAAAAGAAATGATTGCAAAGGAGGGAGAAAATACAAGCAAGAAAAATCACCATGACTACTATTATCCTCCCCTCAACTCCAATCAAAAAAAGATGTTAAAAAAAAAAAAGAAGAAGAAAAGAATCAGGCATAAACAGAGATTATAGCAAAATATAGTAACAAAACAGTGTCAGTACAATTCAATAATAAAAAGACCAAAAAAAATTTTTTAAATAGGCAAAAGACCTGAATAAACATTCCTACAAAGAAGATATACAAATGGCCAATAAACATTTGTATACTCTGTATCATTAGCTATCAGGGAAAAGTAAATTAAAACCACAATGAGATACTACTTTATACCCACTAGTATGGCATAACCAAAAAACTGAAAATAACAAGTGTTGGCAAGAATGTTGAGAAAGTTAAACCCTCCTACACCGCTGGTAGGAATGTAAAATGGTACACTTTGGAAAACAGTTTGACAGTTCCTCAGAAAGCTAAACACAGTGTTACCATATGACAAAGCAATTCCATTCCCAGGTACATATTCTTAGGGATATAGAGAAATGAAAACAGGTCCACCTTTGACAATGCCACCCCCTTCAGTTTTCCTCACCCAGATATTTTACTGCTAAAAGAAACAGGATAGTGAATTATGCACTGACAACAGGATGATCCACGCAGCCCCTCCATGGGATCAGAATCACTGTTTCTCCCCTAAGAAGCTACACAAGTTATCAATAAAAACAGTCCCCTGGATAATCAGCACTTCAAAGGACACAAATAGCCATTTGGATATAATTCCTATAGTCCTGAAAATTATAATGTGTTCTTTAAACTATTTAACTTCAATAATAATTCCAAGTTGGGTGCCTGGGTGGTTCAGTTGGTTGAGTGACTGCCTTCGGCTCAGGTCATGATCCTGGAGTCCCGGGATCAAGTCCTGCAGCGGGCTCCCTGCTCAGCGGGGAGTCTGCTTCTCCCTCTGACCCTCCCCCCTTTCATGTGCTCTCTCTCTCATTCTCGCTCTCTCAAATAAATAAAATCTTAAAAAATAATAAAAATAATAATAATTCCAAGTTTAGGAAAAGCAGGTAATATTTCTAGAAACTATTCCCTGTTAACATGAAACTGAAAACAAAAATCCCTTCCAGTTATCAGCAAAGCATACCAAATGCTGCAACTGTGCCACACCTCAATATGATCACAAGGAACACTGAGTCACGGGGTGAGGGAGTGGAGGATTTCAAATATTGCACTAAATTAACTCAACGGAAAAGTGAACAGAATAAGCATTCATGTTAACATTTATAAAAAAAAAGTATCAATATTTTCCATATCTTTTTTGAGATCCAACTTTATTTCTCTCCAAAATAATTATAAAGTTATATACTTTATTTCTCTCCAAAATAATTATAAAGTTATATAACATTCTAATAACATTTATTCATTTGTATAATCCAGATTGTCAGAGAGTGCTTAAAAAAAATCTAATCTTACGAGATTTTAGAAATTCAAAGCTAGTTTTTTAAATAGTAAAAATTACTCAACAGAAAAAAAATCTTATATTTTCTTTAAAATTAAAAAAAAAGAGGAAAATGCCCAAGGGCAGAAAACCAAGTAAATGCAATATGGATTTTGATGCCATGTGCACTTAGAGCCTATAGCAGCCTAAGAGCTGTGCAATTTAAAAATGAATTCCCTACCACACAGACGTAAAAGAAAATGAGGAAAATATGAGCTGAAAATGGAACACCCTCCAAGATACACTGAGTGAAAAAAGCAAACCACAGAACAATGTATATAATATCCTACCATTACATAAAAAGAGAGAAAAAGAATATATGTAAGTATTTGTTTGTGAATGTATAAAATACCTCTGGAAGGATACATTAGAAATCAATAGCCTTGGTTGCCTTCAGGAAGAAAAACTGGGTATTGGGCAAGAGAGGTGGGAGACAGGCTTTTTACTGTATTCTCTTTTGAATTTTTGAATTTTGAACCATGTGAGTGTATTGCTTATTTAGAAAACAAATAAAATTATTTTCAAAAAACAAGTTTCCAAGATTAGAGATGATCTCAACTGAGGTATAGTAATACTTAGCTAAAGCCCCAAACCAAGGCAAATACAGCAAACCTGTAACCATCTCGGGTATGTGAATCAATCCAGTGAAAAGCATTCATTTATTAAGCAACTAAAATATTCAAAGCACAATGCTAGGATCCATCAGGGATTCAAGAATAAATAAAACCCAGAATTTATCATCAAAGAAGCTGATTTGGCAAGAAAAACACCTGATTAAATCAAACTGAATTAGCCAATACTACCCAGAAAGCCCAAAATTTCATGAAGTCTTAACCAATTTTGGCAAAAGTACTGCTGTGGGTTACAACCAACAGAAAATGCCAAACAACTTTACTCAATCGAAATGGATTTATGTACATCTCCTTCTCACCTCCTATACTCACCAGCAATTTTGAGGTGTGCATGGAAATGTTTATGAGTCAGCAGGGGCTCAGGTAACTCTCCCAGAAACATCTTCAGCAAGGTAGCAACGTCATTTGAATGAAACTCCCCCGATTCCAAGTCAATATCAGTTCCATTATTGAGAGCGTCTCTTAAAATCTGCTGTCGGACACTATTCCCTGGTACTCTAAACAAACCCTCTACTCTCAAGTCTGTTTAGCATGGAAGAAACAGAGGACATGCAAAAAGAAGTTACAATTAAAATAAGTCATCTAAAAGACTACACTTGAAAGACCTTATATAAAGACCTTGAAGGAGGTTTTCTCCCCTCTTCCCAGAAAAGTTTTGAACCTACTGGCCCCTGAGGAGACTTATCTGAACATCCCTGAGCACCTGGAGACAGTCTCCCCAGGACCAGGCACATCTGGAGACTGAATTTAACCTAAACGATGACTGGAATGAGCTTGAAAAATAAGTTGGAAGAAAGCCAAATCTCCCAGAAGGCCCCCTTCCCTTTGGTCATCTCAGACTTTGTCTGGAGGGGCTGAATTCATCTGTGGAAGTTTGTTGCTCCTGTAAATGGTTTCCCAGCCCAAAATGAATCTAGAGTCTCTGCACTGTCCCAGAAATTAAAACTCTAACCTGTCATATCACCTTTCAGTCTGAGATTCCCAGAAGCTTAGGATCATCCCAACTGAACTGTTTTTCCTTTCCAACTAGGTTCTAAGTTAATCTAAGAGGATAAAGAAAGATGAGAATTATAGTTTTGGTTCGATCTGGAAGAACCATGAGAGTTCATGTTTTCAGCTTAGGCACATATCTATTTTTGTATAGCCCCCTAATTCAGGGGTTCAAGTTCAAATGCCTAGAGGGCCAGGCAGATAATAATAAATGAATGAATGGGAACCAAAACAAACTAGAGAGCACATACCTGTGCTCCAGTTGATTGTGTCCAAGTGGGGGCCCCAGGATACTAGATCTTCCTATCATCCAAAGAATTTGAAAACCTGGACTTTCCCCATTCCCCACTGATAACTGATTTTATTTTTAATTTCATCCTTTGCCAAACAAAATATGAACATAGAGGACTCAAGTCCTTACGCCATCAGTTTGCAACCTCGGCTCTAGCTCCTACCACAGTGCCCCACATAAAATGTCATAAATAAGCATTCGTATTGAGTTTATCAAAGCATCACACACACCACACATTTCACATACACTCAACTGTACCAAGCACTTAGAGCAAGACATAACCAGTATGACTACCACAAAATAAATAGGAATTAAGCAAAGAGTATATTTTAATTATAGAATTACAGAGATGAAAGTATCTTTGGTGATAAATCATGTTCCCTTGAGTAAAGATTATGATTCTTTAGAGACAATGTATTTTTCCAAAAAAAAAAAGCCTGAGTCAAGGGGAAGATGTGATTTCATAGATACTAATTTATCTACATCTTTGAGAGTATAAAACAAACCAATATATGAGATGAAATTTAAAAGGAAATATATTTAGAAACATACCACCTAAAATTATCATTGGTTAGTGTCTTCTGTTCATTGACACCTACTAACTCAAGGAAGTTAGCTTTCAACAGAAAACTGACAACTCTTCATTAACAAAGAACAACAAAATCTTGAGAAGTCTTACTTTTGTGTAGATACTCAATCAGTTGGTATATCTGGGCAATGCCTTCCTCTGTCAATGGGGATCCAAATACCACTCCTTTTTCTAAAAAACATGACAGGACAGAGCTATATTTTCCATAAATAGTACAAAATCATCATTCTTAAAGCCACTCAAGCATCCCATGTTATAGTTCAGCAAATGCTTTCACAGGTTCTGTAAACAAAACCTTAAAGCTGGAAATACACCCAAAAATGCAACAACTCTCTATCAACTCTCTGAAAGTTTAATATTAGACTATAGGTTCCTTGAAGGCAAAGACCATCTTCTTATTTAAGTAACAATACCTAGGGGCGCCTGGGTGGCTCAGTCGTTAAGCGTCTGCCTTTGGCTTGGGTCATGATCCCCGGGGTCCTGGGATCGAGCCCCGCATCAGGCTCCCCGTTCAGCAGGAAGTCTCCTTCTCCCTCTCCCTCTCCCCCCACCCCGCCTGTGTTCCCTCTCTCGCTGTCTCTCTCTCTGTCAAATAAATAAATAAAATCTTTAAAAAAAAAAAAGTAACAATACCTAGCATGTTGATATTTAACTTAAAAGAAAAACAGTGAGGAGCCTGGGTGGCTCAGTCGGTTGAGCATCCAACTCTTGGGTTCAGCTCAGAGCATGATCTCAGGGTCCTGAGATCAAGCCCTGCATTGGGCTCCAACCTCACACAGAGTCTGCATGAGATTCTCTTTCCCTCTCCCTCTGCCCCTTCCCCCACTTGAGCCCACACACTCTAAGATAAATAAATAAAACCTTTAAAATAGATAAAGAAATAAACAGGATTTAGAACCACAATTGTCAAGGTATGACAGATTATCCACTAGCATTGGTATAGGGCCTGATCTGTTATAATATTTAAACTTTTTTCTACCATAAATGATTTTCTTATACTTAATAAAATCAAATAGTACCTCTTTAATATCTTATCAAAAGCAGTGTCACAATTTATTTCCTAGGAAGGCTTTTATTTTGGGTGACTCATAGGTATTTCCCTTATCAAAGCAGTCCATAGAATGAAAACATTTGAGAACTGCAATAAAAAATGTTCAAATTGGGGCGCCTGGGTGGCTCAGTTGGTTAAGCGACTGCCTTCGGCTCAGGTCATGGTCCCAGGATCCTGGGATCGAGCCCCGCATCGGGCTCCCTGCTCGGCGAGAAGCCTGCTTCTCCTTCTCCCACTCCCCCTGCTTGTGTTCCTTCTCTCTCTGTCTCTCTCTCTCTCTCTGTCAATTAAATAAAAAAATAAAATCTTTAAAAAAAAAAAAAATGTTCAAACTTTCTTTACTGTACTCTCCAGCAATGTCATAGGGCATGAAAATCAAGGTGCCCCTGATAACTACCTAAACTAAATCATTTCATCTCTCTCAGGGACTGATATACTTGCTTTAGTTTAGCTACTTTTTAAAATTTTTATTGCTAGGGCACCTGGGTGGCTCAGTCGTTAAGCATCTGCCTTCGGCTCAGGTCATGATCCCAGGGTCCTGGGCTTGAGTCCCACATCGGGCTCCCTGCTCGGCGGGAAGCCTGCTTCTCCCTCTCCCACTCCCCCTGCTTGTGTTCCCTCTCTGACTGTGTCTCTCTCTGTCAAATAAATGAAATCTTAAAAAATAAAATAAAATTTGTATTGCTAACTTAAGATTTTACTACTTGAGAAAAATGACAAAAAAAAAAAACTTTACATAATAGCAACTCAGCAAATAGACAAGCCCAGGGAGCAGCTGAGACCTGCCCACCCTTCACAGACACATCCCCTACCCTTTCGCTTGAGAGACATTAGAGACCGGAAGAATCCCGACGCCGGGCCAGCCCCACCAGGCAATTTAAGGTCCACTTCCCCCATCAGCTGAGCCAACTCGGTTCCGGGTAAGTCAATGAGCCTTGTGATATTGCTGACCACCAACTCGGTGAACACCTCAGGTTTCTCATGTCGGAGTTTTTCCACAAAAAAGTCAGGATTGAAGATAATAGGCTGTCCTCGAAGGGAAGAGTCATTGCAGATAACAAAATTACAGATGGCATCACTGAAAAAAATAAAACAGAAGACACTTTAGGGGGGATCATTTTTACATTTTTCTCAGGCTCTCTAAGCCATACAATTATTTACTCTTTCTGTGGGTTAATCTACATATTGGTCTTTTGGTTTGTTTTGTTTTAAAGATTTTATTTATTTATTTCACAGAGAGATCGCGAGAGCAGGAACACAAGCAAGGGGAGTGGGAGAGGGAGAAGCAGGCTTCCCGCCGAGCAGGTAGCCTGATGCGGGGCTCAATCCCGGGACTCTGGAATCATGACCTGAGCCAAAGGCAGACGCTTAACGACTGAGCCACCCAGGCGCTCCTACATATTGGTCTTTTGAAAAACCTAATCCTTAATCTGCTCACTGTACAAAAGAAGACAATTTGAGCTTGTTGCTATTTAGGTTATACGCACCTAGATACTTAGGAATTTCATTTAATAAAAAGATACCAAATAACCTCTAAATATGACCTGACTCTCTGCTCAGCAGGGAGTCTGCTTCTCCCTCTCCCTCTGCCCCTCCCCACCTGCTAGTGCTCATTCACGCTCTAATAAATAAAATCTTTAAAAATAAATAAATAAACAAATAAATAAGACCTGAATTTGCCCCTTAAGTTCAGGCATATGCCATAAGAAGATACAGATCCTTACAGCCTCCCAAGCCCAACAGTATATTAAATTTGGTAGTCACATAGAGCACATTTCCTTATTAAAATAGCCAAACCCTGAATTTTTACTGTTAAATACTTGTAAGACGCCAGACCTACTGCTGTTCTTCCTAACATAGCAATGGGTAATATTAAATTAAGGCCTTCTTGGCACTACAGCCAGGACTGTACAGTATTTCCCATGCATTGTCCCAACTGCTGACAGTACAACATTTAGGCCAGTCTCAAATGCCACAGAAACCACATGACAGTAAGCATGAGCCTGTTTAAGAGCTAAAACTACATCTAAATAGTGTAATAGACATTTTGGAGACATTTACTCTACCCATAGGGTTCTTTAGTTCCTGGGTCCCTACACAGGTGTTTTCTTTCTTTTCTTTCTTTTTTTTTTAGATTTTATTTGGGGTGCCTGGGTGGCTCAGTCGTTAAGCATCTGCCTTTGGCTCAGGTCATGATCCCAGGGTCCTGGGATCGAGCCCCGCACTGGGCTCCCTGCTCTGCGAGAAGCCTGCTTCTCCCTCTCCCACTCCCCCTGCTTGTGTTCCTGATCTCGCTGTGTCTCTCTCTGTCATATAAATAAATAAAATCTTTTATTTATTTGAAAGAGAGAGGGAGAAAGAAAAGCAGACCCCCCCAACCTCCCAAACAGGGAGCCTACACAGGCGTTTTCTAATAATCGGCCCACTTTAATTGAAACAGCTGCCCTTGGATTCTGTTCCTCGTAATCGAAACGCCTTCACCAGAATGGAAGGCATTTACAAGTATATAAAATAGATATTAATTCCACCTTACCAGGTCCATAAATAGGTTCTATTTTAAAATCCTTCAACTCTGGATGCCTCTACCCACCATCCAAGTCCAACCTTTGTTCAGACAGGTTCTTCTCTCTAGGGCACTTGGAAAACTTCTCTATCTTGCCCCTAATTTCACTTTTCTGTCACTGAATAATACTAAGCAGATATGCTCTGTTGGCCCCTGATCTTAGCTGGTTTCCCACTCCTACATTATCCGGGCTATATTCTTGGCAAAGCTCCTTTGACTCTCAAGAAATATTTTCTTCCCTATTTACTGTTTTCCAATGCCTAACTACTATACTCCTTTGAACTTTTAACATGTTACATATAAGAACTATATTATTCCATCTCTGATAGCAGACACAACACTACTTGTTTGTGTCCATTATCAATCATCTCTAATGGCTTGTTCTAATCCTTATTATATAAACAGTCATCTATTATATAACCAATGAGTAGACAGAACACAAAACAGAAAGAACAAGTCATCACATCTGTCAGGCAAAGCTGAAATTCACCTGACACATATAAACATTCCCATGATAAAAAAAAAAAAAAAAAAAATTACAACTTAAAAGTCTTCCACAACATCCTAGGTACCAAAAAACTGTTCCAGGAAAAATGACACTCTAAATATTAAATATCAGTAATCTATAATCTACTTTGTCAACACTACATGGATAATTTCTAATAATGGTATAATGAAAACATGGCATGGGAAAACTTCAAAGTTCATCACTTCTTCCTTGAAAAATTACTACATAATTTTACTCAATTGTCCAAATCTTCAATTGGTGCCTTACTAAATTCCTTTTCTCTGAAATGATAATAAAAAAATTCACATAAAAATTTAAAATTATGAACATGTATTCTCAAGCCAAAAAGTCATTAAAGAAAGAGATCTAAAACTGCTTACCGACTTGACCTTTTTATACACAAGGAAAGGTTATTTTCCCTGTAAAGGTACAAATGATTATAAGGCAATTAAAATCAAAAGCAAGTGTATCCTAAACCATTGACAAAAACCTCTTTTTTTTTAGTGTCAGCTTATTTTAGTTAAGAAAGATGAGTCAATACAAAACTACTGTTTATAATCACCGCCAATGAGAAATCACTACTCTGAGCCAGAAAAATCATGAAATGTGTTAGCACTTCAGAGTCTTATAATTTACTGAGTCTCAACTATCATTTTATGGACTTCACATCCCTTTTAATTCTGAAAAACAGATTTCAGATCAAATTAGTTCTAACATATAAATATGCATAAATAGCATCCATTACATTCCTGAAGTAGAAACACAACAGACATATAACCTTCAGATCTTTATTTTATTAATATCCAGAGCAATATTCGGTTAAGATTCTAAAACTTCCATCACAGATGACCCTCCAGCACTAAACTGGATCAAATACAAAAGTGAGAAAGGAGCTAGAAGCACAAAGCCCTAGCTTCTCAGTAGAGTCCTTCCTACCTGGCCATCACCCCCAAGTCTGCCCCCACCTAAATAGGTAGAACAGGTAGAAGAGTAAGTAAGTTCAAGGCTCCCTCTACCTATTCACAAAGAATACCAGAAAAAGTTCCCTTGGAAGTCCTAACCCACAGGTAATAAGCAATCTCAGTTTCTTTTCTCCTTCTACTTTGTCTCCCCTTTCTTCCCATGATCATTCACTCTTGTTTTGCCCCATTTGAATGTCTTTAGTTTTTTACTTCTCTTTTTTCACTTTTTCTGAGTGGAGCATCTATCTGGTAAGACAGGATGTAAGAGAGAGAAATTATTAAAAAAGAAGTAAAATGGGGCACCTGGGTGGCTCAGATGGTTAAGCGTCTGCCTTCGGCTCAGGTCATGATCCCAGGGTCCTGGGATCGAGTCCCGCATCGGGCTCCTTGCTCATCGGGAAGCCTGATTCTCCCTTTCCCTCTGCCTCTCCCCCTGCTTGTTCTCTCTCTCTCTCTCGCAAATGAATAAATAAAATCTTTTAAAAAAAAACAATAAAAATACATAAATAAAAAAGAAGTAAAATGGAAGATGGGAGACGCAAAAGATAGAGTGGGTTACATTTTTTAATTACCCCCATACCACATAGGCTGCTAATCCCTTTCCACAGAATACACAATACCACAATATAAAGCCGAGAATATCAAGGAACATGATTAAGAACTTTAAGAAATTTCTAGGGCTAAAGAAAAGAATACTATTTAAGCAAAACAACTTCCTACTCTACCGTATCTTATTTTAAAACAAAGTCTAAGTTTGCTCAAGGTTCAAGAAAAAAAATTTAATTTCTTACATAAGTGCTGAAAGCTTCTGATGAGGCATTGGTAAATCGAAGAGACAGGGAAAAAAGCTTTCTCCTTGTTTGTTGTGACAAAGGAACCCTCCTTTCCCTGCCCTATCCCAGCCTACACAAATTCCAGACATGTGAGAGGACACAAGGACACATTATAGGGCCTGAAAGGCAGTACTCATCAGGACTCTAAGCACTCATTTGCAAGTAGGAACAAAACAGAAATAAACTGGATCAGTTCGTTGTATTTGCCAACATGGACAAAACAATCATATAATGTAAGAGCATAAGGACAAGTACTTTTATGTATGGAGGGAAGGATGATCCCTACCTCACATCATACATAAAAAATAGAAAAAAGATCAAAATATGAAAAGCCAAATTTTAAACAGTTTAGAAAAGAATAACGAATAATAACGGAGGCAGAGGAAATGTGTCTTAAACAAGGCATAAAAAGCATAATCCACAAAGAAAAGACTGATACATTTAACTACCTTAAAATTTTAAATGTGTGTACAACAAATGACATTATGAACAAAGTTCTTTAAAACTGAAGTCAAGGGCGCCTGGGTGGCTCAGTTGGTTAAGCGACTGCCTTTGGCTTGGGTCATGATCCTGGAGTTCCGGGATCGAGTCCCGCATCGGGCTCCCTGCTCAGCAGGGAGTCTGCTTCTCCCTCTGACCCTTCCCTCTCTCATGCTCTCTCTATCTCATTCCCTCTCTCAAATAAATAAATAAAATCTTTAAAAAATAAAAAATAAATTTAAAAATTTAAAAAATGAAGTCAAAATGCCTCTGGAGAGAGGAACTGGATGAAAGAACAGGAGTGGGAGAAAAACTTTTCACTGTATGTTCTTTTGTATTTTCTGGATTTTTGATTCATGTGAACATACTACCCATTCACAATACATACATAAATAGATTTAAAACCTTAAATTAGAAAGGCATAAACTGGAAAAAAAAATTTGTCATGCATATAAAAGGATTAGTATTCAGAATTTATCAATCTAAAATTTTATGTCTAAAATTTAGAAGAAAAATACACTCAAAGAAAATTAGACAAAAGATATGATCAAATAATTCATAAAGGAGGAGCCCTAAGCAACTAACACAATAGGAAAAGAATCTCAACTTTAAGTTACAAGGGTAGGGGTACCTGGGCGGCTCAGGAGGTTAAGCCTCTGACTCTTGATTTCAGTTCAGGTCATGATCTCAGAGTTGTGAGACTGAGCCCTGCAACGAGCTCCATCCTGGGCA